AATCAGTGGGCTGTGTGCAGGGACCCCTCTCCCAGAACAAAACCCTGCCATGCCCCTTTCACAGAAAAGGAAGCACTTGTCCACACTGACACAGTCTGCCGCCTCTGTGTCCCTCCCTGCCTGCTTTACCACTTGTGTTGGAGCAGACCCCACTTACTCTGAAAACAAGTGGTCCACCATCAGTGGCCATCAGACTCCAGATAGTTGCTTTCAAAATGATCGTTCACATCAGTGAACTCATCATTTCTCATTATCCTCCCTGTAGGTTTCTCCTTTTTTTGGGTACTGAGGCTTGAACCCAGGGATGTTTTACCACCGAGCTACATTCCAGACCTTTCTGTTTTTAATTTTGACACAGATCTCACTAAATTGCTGAGGCTGGCCTTGAACTTGTAATCCTTCTGCCTTAGCCTCCCAAGTCTCTAGGATTACAAGTCTACATCACTGTGCCTGGCAAGAGGAGTATTACTGATAGGAACTTCATTTATAATTAACAAATTCTTTCTTTGACTATAAAATTGCAGCTAAAATCTCCACTTGGCCTCACCTCCCAAATGGGCTCACCTTCCCTTTTGCTGAGACTGTGAATGGCTAGGAGGGAGTCAGGGGGGAGACATCACCCCAGTCCTCTTTTCACTGAGCAGAGAGCTAGAAAGGCCCAGACTACCTCCTGCCAACCTGCCCTTCCCCACACCCAGCGAAAGGCTGGAGCTTCAGGACTGCAGATCCACCCTCATGGGTGACTCCAAATCACTGGGGGTGCTGAACTGGTTGTTTGTTGCTTTCTTTTTTCATTTTTAATAACCACAGTGGGCTTAAGGGGGAGTTCTAGTCTTTTCTGTGTTAGAGATTGCTTTTCTGCTAGGGTGGTTTAAGCACCTCTCAGCTTTCTCAGTTTTGATGTGACATCCATATCCTGTGGGGACAGTGATAGGTTTGCTCCAATTACACAATATTAAATGGAGGAAGTAACAATAAAACTCATCTGTCCAGTCCACAAATGTTTCTTAAACCCTATTATGTGCAATAAATCTTTAGGCCTGAGACAAAGACCACCATAGGAACAAAGGAACTTCTGATCTTTGGCTCATGGCCTGACAGCAGCCCCGGGGGGCTTGGTGTGTGTCACCCTCAACCAATGTCAACTTTGCATCGTTGATTTCGGGATACCCTGGGTATGTGCTTATAGACAGTTGCAGTGACTTATCTTTTAGCCCAGGGAAAAATGCTTGAGTTGAGCACAATGAGTATTCCTGCCCCTGCAACTAACCAAGAAAACAGGATCCTCCTTCCGCCCGGGGACCTGGCCTGATGTCTTTTTGCCAGAGCTGGCTCCTTTCCTAAATGGAAGCCCCAATAAAAGCTTTGCCTACATGTTTGCTCGCCTGGCTTGATTTCATTTCTATGATTACTGAGTCAAATGGTCCCAGGGTCCATCACCAGGCCCAGTGCTGGGAAGTGGGAATGACAGTAGGAGAGACCCAGAAAGAGCACTTAGGTCCAAGTACCATGCACCAAGCTCCCTTGGCTGGGAGGAGGCAGAGCTGGGAATGGAATCAGCTGCCCATGGCTCTTGCCATGAGAGATCACAGCCCTAAGGGTGTTTGGAAACACAGACCTTTCAGAGAGATGTGAAAGGGAGTGATGTGAACAGGGAGTCTTGCTCGAAATCCCTGTTTATAGAGAAACTTCAGCTCAGAGAGGGAAGATGACCTACCTAAAGTCACACAGTCAGTTGGAGGCGGGGCTGGAACCAAAGTCGGCTGGAACCAAAGTCGGCTTTGCTGGCTCCCAGCGTAATAGTCTTTCCATTCCTTTAGCTGTTGAAATCCTCAGCCCTGCTCCTAACCCTTCCTTCTAGTCCACACCACGCCTGGAGCTCAGGTTCCTGGGTTTGGCAAGAATCATGGGCACTTGGGTGGTGCCAAAGGGTACCTCTGACCCCAAACTCCTCAGTGTGGCTGACCTCAGCTGGCTGCTGCTCCCCTCCAAGGAGCCAAATGATAGCGAGGGTGAGACGTGGCCCTTCCATTGAGCTCATCCTCCCGGGCTCTGGGTCAGTATCTATATGCTCCCTGAGCACTGTGCTGTCCCTCCCTAGGGCTGGTCATGTCACATCAGAAGGGCTTGGTCTTGCTTTCGGGCCCCTTCCCAACTTTGCTCCTAGTCTGTGGCCAGGCCAGTTGTCCCACACCCTACAGCAGCCCAAGCCCACCCCCAGCACCTTTTGCCCTACGCAAGCCTCCTGCAGTGTTCCGCTTGGAGACCTGGCTCCACACCATGTAAGCAAAGAAATAAGTTGAAAATGGCCCAAACAGGCACCCGTACAGGATGGCAAAGCACGTCCACTCACGGGCCATACACAGGCGTGAACAGTCTCCCTCTAAAGGTTCAGGAACTATAGGGGACAGATTTGAGCTGACACAGCAGTGAGAGGGCCGCCCCACAGCCACAGCTGTGCCCAAACCTGTGCTTGAGAAAAGGACCCACCAGAATCATTTCTATAACATAACAGCAGCTAAATTAGGAGAGTGAGGGCGCAGTAATTCCCCCCTGCGGCTTCCAAACTTTGCCTAATGCTGTTAAGTTGCTTTTATAATAAGGGCAGCAATAAAACCCGCAGCCTCCTCGGCATTCTCTCTCCTTTAAGAGCCCAGCTAGGCCTGGGCCTTCTCCACCCATCATGGTCACCTGTCACCAGAACACAGATCTCTCTCAGGAAGAGTGGCAGTTGGCGGGTGGCTGCCATGGAGGTGCTCATGCCATCTCTCCCTGGGGGTTGGGACAGTATCTCCTCTGTCTCCTCCTCAACCATGAACATGCATGTACATGTGCACACACACCCCACCTGTCACAAACACTTTCCCTCATGCTCTTCACACCTGTACAGTGTGAAGCCCACTCTACAGGCCCCAGAGTGGATCCCTTCCCAACACTGGCTGACTTGTTGGGAACAGAGCTGGATTTTGGCTTAATCCTAAATCCCCTAGATTCAGATATTCAAACAGTCCAAACTACCTGCTTTTGCCTCTGGCACAGGTTCAGAGCGTGATTTAAGTGGCTTAGAATATTTACTGGTAAGAGCTAACAAAACAAAGCCTTTGGTGGGAATGCATGGGTATAAATTCTGGCTCTGCCACTCAGTCCCTCACAGCTCTGTGACCTTCAACAAGTTACTTAGCTCTGTGCCCCAGGTAGAATTCCGAGTTCCTGGTGCTGTTATGAGGATGAAATGACTTAATATTTACAAAGCAGCTAGATGGATTCCCAGAAATTTGAACATGCTATACATAAGCACTCCATTCACTCATTGCTGCTCATTCATTCCCTATTTATTGGGTACCTACTGAGTCCATCAGGCCAGACATCAGGGGCACACAACCCACCATCTAGTGGGAACAACATACACACCACAAAAAAGAAAAAGAAAGAAAGGGGGGAAGGGAGAAAGACTTTCTTTTAAGAAAATGTGATCATTTTAAACAGAAATTTGCACACAATTCTAAGAAAGGCCTGAAAAAGAACATTTCTCTATTTCCATGTAAACTTGAAAAAAATACCCACTATTCAATCCTTAGAATCCATTTAAAACATTGGATTCTTATTTGTGAATTTAGACTAAGCCTCCAGACACAGGAGGCTTTGGGAAAATATCCCACTCAATGCCATCTATTCAACCTCCGTGGATGTTTTTCTTCCTACTTCCTTTGACGGTGACCCATCACCTAGAAAATAATCTTGGGTTCAGCCCTCAGGTATTGGGTAGAGGAGGTGATGTGTGTTCAGTGAGACCAACCCTCATTTATTTTAAAAAATAACTTGTAAATATTTGGCTAGGAGAGAAAGCCGGGGAAAGCCTCAGTAACTTATAGTCACAACGGATGAACCCACAGAGGTTGCATTTTTAAATCTTGATGGTTTTAACTCAAACCGCTATGTGAGCAGGTAAACTGCACAGCTGGTTGATAACGATGGAAAAGAAAATTGTCAATCCATAACCCTCCCCCAAATCCACTCAAGTCTTTGGAGTCGCTTTTGAATACCCTGAACTCAGCCGCCGTGATGTCTGTGTTTGTGGCCCAGGCAGTCCACGCTGACCCTGCGGAGTCCTGAGACCCGCGCGAGGCGACCCCGGGTGAGTCCGGTGAGTCGCAAGTGGAGCTGCCCAGCGGCTGGCAGGAGGTCCACCCACCCACACGCCCACCTTCTCGGCAGCCAACAGCTTACGTGTCTGCAACCAGCAAGCCCAGCGCTCAGGGATGAGCTCGGCGCCGGCAAGTGGCGGTTGTCACTAGAGCCTAGTCCTTCCCAGGGCTCCACCACTCGCGGACAGCCCCTCGCCGCCCCCTTCATCCAATGGATGCTGCATTCACCGTTTGGCGACTTTCCTAAACTCCCGGCGCCGGAACCGCGAGCCGCACGGAGGGCTGGAGAGCCAGCATTGCGCGCCGGGGCTGCGGTACCCGGCGCATCCGCGCACCGGCTCCATCGGAGGTTGCGATATTAATCAAGGGCTCCAGTCGCGCAGGCGACTATTACCTTGTTGGACTTGGGGGCTTTCGCGGAGGGACCGGTCAGGAAAAAGTGCCCAGGACCAGGACCCGGGGCGGCCAAGAGGGTGCTGGGATGAAGAGGGATACGCGCCTCCAGTGCCGGGGCTGGGGTTTGCATGGGAGGAGTGGGAGGTGGAATCAAGCTTTGGCCCCAAAGTCTGCGGCGATCCCGGCACAGAGCGGCTTCCCCGGGTGGGCGGACCCCTCCTCCGCCAACATCCCGGCGCTTCGCCACACGGTTTCTTTTTTCCCCGGAGTTCTTCCTCTACCCACCCAAGCCTGACTGCAAAGGTTCGTGGAGAAGGAGTTAGGCTGCCCCAGCCTCCCTGGACCTGTGCCCTGCTCTCCCCAGCGCCCCTCCCCCACCCCACCCGCAGCCCACGCCTGTCCCGCGCCGGCCGGGGGGCTGGCGGCGCCGGCGATCCAGGCTGACCCGCTCGCTCTCACCTTGACGAGCCGGAGCTGCGGGCGCCGTCCCATCCTCGGACTCGCTCCGTTACCGTCCTGGATGCCTGGGTCCCTCGGACATCCCAGAGGGGCCGCCCGGCGGTTGCAGACTCCGGCGACGCAGAGTGGGCGGCTGGGCTCCTCGGTCGCTACCAGGCACCGAGGTACCGAGCTGAGCGCTCCTCAGCCCAGCAGCCCAGTCCGGCCCGGCCCGGTCCGGCCCGGCGGGCTTTCGTTTGTCCTTCCCGGGCAAGTCCGGCCGCCGTTTTCCGATTCAGCCCCGGCCGGCGTCTCTCGCCCGCTCGGAGCCCGCCTCCCTCGCTGTCCGCCTGCTCCTCGCCTTGGCTCCCCGCCCCCTCGCCGCGCGCGTCCCCTCCTCTTTTTCCCTCCCCCTCCCTTCGGTCCCTCCTCCGCGCCTCGCCCCCACCCTCTCCGCCCTCTCCGCCTCTTGGGTTCCCCGCCCTTCCACCGGCCGGCTCCCTGAGCCTTCGCCCCGCTGACCACCTTGCCTTGCACCCCGGTTTGCGGCAGTCGGTGGGGTGTACTGGCAGTGGTGGTGGCCGCCGCACAGGCTGGAGAAGAAGGCGGCGGGAGAAGGAGGCAGCCTCCGGCCTTCTGCCTCCCGCCCGGCTGGAGGTCGGGACTAGGGGAGTCCAAGGGATCTGGGGCGGAGGGGGGGGACTGGGAGACTCAGGTGAATTTATGAGAGCAAGGCCATTGGGGATTGGGGGACAGGGCGAGCTCGACTGAGCTAAGCCGCTGCGGAAACCAGATGAACCTGGGAACTGCGTTTGGGCAGTTCCCGCCTTGCAACCGGTCAGAAGGTCACCGCCGCCCCCAGTTAAGCTGAGCAGGGGCGTTGGGCTGGACGCCCAGCACCTTTGGCATTGACACGCCTGGTGCCTACTGAGACACGAGAACTCTGCGGAAGGAGACCTTATTCATTTATTCGTTCGTTCATTTTACAAGCTGAGTACCTGCTCAGTTTGGTCCAGACAAGGGGCAGCCCCTCAAAATAAAGGGAAGATGACCTGCCGTGCAGGACTAGCTGGCACCCGAAAGCTGCCAGGGGGAAGCCGGCGCGCAATGTGCTGCAACGCTGGGAATGCCGCTGAGAATCCAGTCGGCTGGGCGTGGAGGAGGCCACAGCGCCCCCTCTCGGCCGAATCCTCAGGGTAAGGGTCAGCAGTCCCGCCAGACCTTGGGGTCTTCATCTGATTTGGTTCTCTAGCTACCCAGCTCACCCCAGCTCTGAGAAGCAGGTCCTGCCTTCTCCATCCCTTCTAGGTGGATAGAACTTTTGACTCTCTTCTCCCTCTTTCTTCCTGAGCCAGATCTGAAAACGGACAAGAAAGAGGCCCTGGGAAATCTTCATTCTACCCCGCAAAGCGTAGGTCCCAGCAACAATGGCAGCCGCCCCCAGAAAATGTAGAGGCACCTTGGGCGAAGCCTGGTCCCAGAGTGGCGGACAGCTGGTTTTGAAATCAAACAGCCTGGCTGCCCTGGATTCCTCATCTTACCAGGCCCCCGCCTCTTCCCTTCCACCCCCATCTTGGCACTTTGAGCAAGAGCCAGTGCATTCATGGGTCCAAATGATCCTTATTTGGAGCTGGAGATTTTGCAGGCAGTCGTGTTATCCAACACACATTTTACTGGTGAGGAAACTGAGACACACAGAGGTGTGACCTGTCCAAAGCCCCATAGATGATAAGCCTAGTCCTCCCCTTCCTGATTCCCACCTCAAAGTGCTTGGAGGTCTGGGCCCTAAAAGAGTTTGGGGCATTGAAGTGAGAGGTCATTGACCAGGAAGCCAACTGGTCACATTGGCTTAGCCAAATTGATGTCATAATTTAGATGGAGCACATAGTTCTGAGCCTTGCAAAACCCAATTTGCTTAGGGCCCCAGAGCTGGTCAATCAAACCCAGAAGAGACTTACAGACCAACTAAATTGCCAATTTACTATTCGCAATGAAAATTAAGTTCAGGGCAGACAGACACAGTGGCCCATGTCTGTAATCCCAGGACTCTGGAGATGGAGGCAGGAGTATTTCAAGTTCAAGGCCAGCCTGGGCAACTTAGTGAGACCATTCTCAGAATAAAAAATATAAAGGGCTGGGTGTGTGACTCAGTAGTAGATCACCCCTGAGTTCAATTCCAAGAAGCAGAAAAGAAAGAAAGAAGGAAAGGCAGAACGCAGGGTAGTTTGGCATCTGGTTCTGGAGTCAGACAGCATGGGCTTAAGTCTTGATTCTTACACTTACAAGCTTAACCCTGAAAAATTATTTAAATTATTTAGCAGTGCCTCAATGTTCCTATCTATAAAGTGAGCCCAAGAACATCTACCTGCTAGGGCATAATGACTTATTTGTAAAGGACTTGGCTCAATGCCTGGCACATGGCAATAGCTTCATGATGGTTAACTGTAGTCACCTAGCTGTCATCAAGATGGAGTGAACCAGGTGCTCCAGTGTTGGTGGCTTGGTCTCTCTTCTAGGCAATGTTTGTGAGAAGCAAATTTCTCCATTGGAAGGCCCCAGAAGCAGTGGACTGTGGGATTGGAGGAGGCTGGCTGGTCATCAGGGAGGGCTGCCAGTCCTGCGGAGGTCTGTTCCCCACTCACCTTGGAGCATGGGCTCCAGAAATCAGAAAGCTCCAGTTTCTGCACTTTTCTGAGATTCTGGTTCCCTTTGCTTAATAAACACCATTAACTTTTGCCTCTCTGAGCCCATCCTTCTCCCCTTGACATGATCTTTAAATATGCTAATACCATCGATTCTTTGTAATCAAGTCTTGCTCTTCCTGCCTGTTTAGGCTGGGTATAAGACCTTCTCTCTTCCTGAAGTGGCATCTACAGCTAGTACATTCCCCCTGGTATATTATTTCCCTGATTTACCCTCCATCTGCCCCCCAGATGGGGGTAGGGGGCTTCAGCCTCTTTCCGTGACTTACTTATTTATAGTTCTGGCCTTGACAGCTGCAGGGGGGTTAGAAGGAGCTCCTGTTAAACAGCCTTCTGTAAAAGGTTCCATATCCCCTTTCATTTGCCTGGGAAGGGCTTCCTTTCACCTTCAAGAGCCTGGCTCCAATCTGCTCTGCCTACTGAAGATACAGGTGTCTATGCTGGCCCCCCTTCTTGCCCTCGAATGCCCTCCTCCCCTCTCTGCCCAGCCACTCTAGCCCCAGCAGCCTGATGGCTCAGGCTGGTCTCTGTGGGCAGCCTCTCCTCACTGCCCTCAGGACAGACTTCAGCTCCCTTTGAATATTCTTTCCCAGACTGACCTTTCCCAAACTTTCCTCCAATTGATCTCTCTCCTGCCCTCTCCTCTTCCTGCCTAGACCCAGACCGGAATCACCTTTCATTCTTTTAACCTGCCATTTTGGAAGAAAGAGAGATAGGAGGAATCCAAACAGCAATAAAAGCCAATCACATGCCCTTCTGAACAATAGGCAAGACAGATGTGAGACCAAATGATGAAGGGGTCCAGGGAGAAGGACCGCGTCGACGCTTCCCGCTGGAGGGGTTCCGCGGGCCCTGTGAAGATGGACAGTATGGAACAAACAGCATTTCTCGGACCACGGGCAGTAACTACAGGTTCTTTATTTCTAAATTTCTCATCCCTTTCAGCTGATACAACTGCAAAATGCAGGAGGAATGAACTATTAGGAAATGAAATAAAAAATAAAGACATACAGAATAAAAGCCCAGTTTAAAAAACCCGTAGATTCAGTGGGCCTAAAACTACTTTATCAGATTACTTTAAAATTTCTAAATATCCCCTCTCAATTTCTGCACTTACTTCATCACAGATCGACAACAGAATTTGCAGGCAAGTGCCAGGCTGCAGATCATGCCCACGGTAGCACTGCTCTGGATGTATGAAGCCAGGAAAATGATCCCATGAAGGGAGCAGCTTTTAAAATCCCATGAACCTTGGGGGATATGGTGTTAATTACTCCACTCATTCAATAAACGTTTAATGAGCAGCAACTATGTGCCAGTCACTGTTGGACACCAAGGCTAATAACGATTAATATACCAGGTTCCTAGCCCTCAAGATGTTCACTGCCTGGAATGGGAGAAAACCACTTTGATAAATAATTAAAAGCTAGCAAAATTAGGTCAACTGTGGGCATGGAGGCAGCAATATTAATTCTGCCTGGGGCTCCCAGGGAAGGGTCTATCAAGGAAGTGATGCTTGGGCTGGGGTCTGGAGGTGGAGAGGCAGGTACCTGTTCAATCCCAGAGGGCACCCTGCACTCTGTTAAGTAAATTAAAATATGTCAAGTGCTTAGCCCAGAGCCTGGCACTGAGCAAGGGCTTCCAATGTGTTTGTTAGCTTTATTATTAAATATGATAAATTATTATTGTTGTCATTATTATTACTCACTGAGATATGCCCAGCCCTGCCTTTAACTTTGGCATGGGGCTGTAGGGGTCAGTTGAGAGAAGGGGGTCATCTGGCTTTAATCCCACCCCCTTTGTCAGAGGAAAGACTTTTCTGGAAGAGATAGGATGGAAGTTGGGTATTGAAGGAGATGGATGTGGACAGGGGAAGGTGAGAGAGGGAGACTTTCAAGGTAGGAGGGTCCCTTACAAACACAGCCCGAGGGACAAGGACAGGAGAGGAGACTGGCCCATGGGACAACAGCTGGGGGTACAAGGACTGGGTGGGGCCGGGCACAGCTGCCAGGGAGCAGGATGTGGACCTTCCAGCCTTTGGAGAGGGGACTTGACCTTATTCGTTCTCTGGTTTTGGACAGATCGTATTGGTGGTTAGGATTTGTGTGGCAGCCTGTACTCCACAGCTCTTTCACAAATATTTTCCCATCTAATCCTTGTAACAACTCCATGATGGAGGTGTTAACAGCCTCGCTTTACAGATGGGGAAGCTGAGTTCAGAGGGCAACTGCTTGCCCAAGGTTACACCACTGGCCTGCACCCAGATGGGATCGCAGCCCCGTTCCGACTCCTACTCCCGATATTTTCCAGCATGCGGTGGAGAGGCGACCTGAGCCTAAACCTCAGGGAGCTGAGCTGTGACTCTGTGACCTAGAGGAGGCCCTGGCTCTGAGATGAATCTTGCCTTCTTTCTCTTCCCAGCAGGTAGGCAAAAGGGAGGAATGGAGGCAAGCCATGGGACAGCAGCTGACAATGACAGCAGGCAAAGGGAAGCCACTCAGCCACAGAGGTGACCTATCAGCCTTTCCTCCACCCCTCCCCAAGTCTGAGTTTGTATCACTCATGGGTGAGAGCACTAAGACCATGTTTTCACGTTTATTAGTGTGGCTGAGAGGGCCACTGAAGTTTGTTGTTGGTGGTGGTTGTTATT